TACCATGCTGTCTTGATTATTGTAGCTCTATAGTATTGTCTGAAGTGGGGACACAAGGGTGGTTCCACATACACAGATCAATCAATGTAATACATCACATCAACAAGAGAAAGGACAAAAACCACATGATCATCTCAATAGATGCAGAAAACACTTTTGATAAAATTCAACACCCATTTATGATAAAAACTCTCACCAAAGTGGGTATAGAGGGAACGTATCTCAACATAATAAAAGCTATATATGACAAACCTGCAGCCAGCATAGTTCTCAACAGCGAAAAACTCAAAAGCTTCCCACTAAAATCTGGGGCAAGACAAGGATGCCCACTATCACCACTCATATTTAACATAGTCTTGGAAGTCCTAGCCACAGCAATCAGGCAAGAGAGAGAAATAAAAAGGATCCATATTGGAAAAGAAGAGGTAAAAGTATCACTATATGCAGATGACATGATACTATATATAGAAAACCCTAAAAAGTCCACACAAAAACTACTAGAACTAATCAAAGAATTCAGCAAGGTAGCAGGTTACAAGATTAATGTCCAAAAATCAGTTGCATTTCTTTAACTACGAATCAACAGAAAAAGAAAGTAAGGAAACAATCCCCTTTAAAATAGCATCCAAAATAATAAAATACCTAGGAATAAATCTAACCAAGGAGGTGAAAGACTTATACATGGAAAACTATAAACCACTGATGAAGGAAATTAAAGAAGACTTTAAAAAATGGAAAGATATCCCATGCTCCTGGATTGGAAGCCTCAATATTGTTAAAATGGTCATACTGCCCAAGGCAATCTATAGATTTAATGCAATCCCTATCAAATTACCCAGGACATGTTTCACAGAACTAGAACAAATCATAATAAAATTTATATGGAACCATGAAAGACCTAGAATTGCCAAAGCATTACTGAAGAAAAAGAAAGAGGCTGGAAGCATAACTCTCCCATGGAAGTACTCTCAGGGTATTTATTTGAGGAATTTTTCATGGATTTTGTATCAATTACAGTAGTTCTTTCAGAATAAATGGAAAGTCAATTGAAAAAAAAAATTAATGTGACCCTGCAGATGAGCTGTGATCTCTGGGTTGCAGCTGCGTGTTCTGTTTCCCTGTATCTACCTGGCAACGTATTGTATTCCCGTCAACAAATCAGCAGATCCCTAATACTCCTCTTCTTCCTCCTTTTTTTTTCCAGCTGAAAACATTTTGTTGGCTTTTTGGATAGAAAGGGGGAATTTATTTGCCAGGAAGGATGAGCCCCTCATAGTTCTGCTGGAACCATCACATGGCCTCCTCTTTGCTGATGCTGCGCGTGGCCCCAGTGCAGCCTGTCCTGTGCTTCTTGTCTGCTATGCTGAAACCTGGCCTCCCCAGCACCACATGGAAGTCCATAGATACCAATGCTTGGGTCATGTTTGATCCCCAGATTGATGTGTTCTTGGATCCCTAAAACCAAAAGTTAGACTTTTTTCTCATCTTGCTCTTGTTGGTTAACAACTGGTCATCACTACACTCCCTGATGTCTCTGAGTATTAAGTGTGAGGAGTGTCAAGGAAGTGGGTAGGAAAAGTATTTGGATAATACTGTAATTTGCATTCCTCTTTAATAGAGGAAGGTTTACAAAGCATTTATCCCATTGCACATATCAATCTGCTATTTATATAGGTGTCCTGGGAGCACGGTGGTATCAGCTCAGAGGTCGGTCCTATCACTTCAGGAGTAACTGCCACTTCTGAAGTCACAGGCCCCCAAAACAATGGCCAAGGTCACCCTTCACTGTCTGGCTGTGCCTTTGTTTGAGAAGAGATAGCCCTTCAATGCTGAGAAAGCCAGCTTCCAGGAACTCCAGGCCTTAGCCCAGGCACTGTCTTTCACGTAGTCCCGCGGAGAACAATTGTGTGAAGCACAGTGACCTCAGAAGCCCAAAGCCTTGCGGGCTATTTATGAATGCAGTGTGCTCTGAAAATGGGCTCAGGATGAGGAAGCCCTAGCAGAGCTCGATTTAGCTTGCACTCTGCCTGTGTGAGCATCCTACGAGAAAACAAGGGTAAATATAGCAAGAACCCGTTCAAAGGTAGAAGACCACTTGCCTGTTGTACTTCTGAGAGCAAAAGTGCAAGCTCTCCAGAAGTTTTAGCCAGACAAGTAGAATTCTGTGGGTATTTGTCACTGAGTTATGTCCTCTTGTATGAGGAAGGTGAAAAGCCTAGCCAATGAGTTCTCGCTGTAGGTAAGAAAACATGTCACAGCAAATGTAAGGATAAGTAATACCATTCATCTTTGAAGTATGATGGCCTTGTTGTTATTTTCAGAGTAGTCTAAATAGATTAAAATGACCTCTTTCCTAGGAGTTCATCTGGTTGGGGTTAATGTAGCTTATCACCTCGTCTGTGGGAGTTAGGCCTGGTCTGAAAATGCCCTCATCAGGCTTTGGATAACTGACCTGCTGGGACACATCCATGTTAGTAATAATGATGGAGGACAGTCACCCCTCCATCGTGCACGTGTCAGTCACCTGGAGGAAAAAGAACAAAGGCCCCTTGAATGTTGCAGCAGCTAACACAGGATGCTGCAGGACCTCGGTCTCCTTGGTTTGAAATCTCCTGCAGTTTTTTCCTTCTTCATAGACTATGTATGTCCCTTTTGAAAGGGTTCCATAGTGCTTAAGAACTAGATCTTCCTTTCATAAAGTGTTAACACGCTTAGGTCGAGGCAGGTGCGAATTTGCTTACAATGTCACAAAATGCATGGGTCATCTGCTGTAACTGGCCCTTTAGTGGGAAGATTATAGCATTTAGTGGCAGTTGCAGGTCATGAAAACTGACCAGGTGAAGGTAGGGAGAAGGCTGGCTGTGAAAACCACTGTGACTCTGCTGAAAAGCTGCACAAAAGCATGAAGTGGGATCCTCAAAGGAAGTCACCATGTTGTACCAATAATTCTTGGGGAGAGTTCCCTAAATAAATAATCAAAAAAACCCCAAAACTTTAAGCACAAAAATGGATCGTTGTAATTTATAATGACCAATCTGGCAGTCCTTGAAGAACTGAAAACAAAATCATGACTGCACATGTTGGATATCTCAGTCTAGCATTGGTGTAAT